TGCCTCCCCCCCACCCCACACTTTTTTATTTGTGAAACAGGGTAAAGCATTAATTATGGTTTTTTAAAATGTAGGGACCAGAACAAATACAAAGATGCAGCAAACCTTCTTAATGATGCTTTGGCTATTCGTGAAAAGACTTTGGGCAAAGATCATCCAGCGGTTTGTATATATGATTGTTTCATACTTTTAGTTGTGTTTTTCACTAAGACTTTTTTCCTTTTCCCGCCCAACTTATTCTAATATTAAACTCAACAGGAACGTTTAAGATCTGGCTTGTCACTAATCAGGACAGGTAGGCGGCCACAATACAGTATTCTGTGGGTTTTTTAATATTTAACATATCTTTGAGCTTTTTATTTATTAAACTATTTCACCCAAAAATTACTCTACTGCCACATTTATTTGATTATGAATCAAGTTGCATGGTCTGCAATGTGAAAAAAATTAGCTTCTGAAGAAATATTTTAATTAGCTTATTAAATAATTCCGTTGCTGAATTCATATAGGAATTGTACTTCTGATTTGTTTTACTTCCTCTGTTTAAAATAAAACAGATAATTCCAATCAAGTCATTTTAAAAATTTAATTTGGTGATTTATTGCTTCATATAGCCTATGTTATACAGTAGTGGGCAATTCTGTGAATCTAAATTAATGAAAAATAACTTTATTTCTGTGTTGTCATATTTACAGCAACTTTATGCATTTATTTACATTTCAGGAGGCTAAATACATTTCACACGTGTTCTCCAGTAAGAGTTATTTCCTAATGTAGGAATTTGCCAAGAGGTCTTCACTGTACATAGAGGATATGACTATAGCAGTACACTGTAAATATATTTGAATAAATTTAACTTCAGCAGGTTCCATATATTTAATGTTTCTCTGCTGTTGACAGGTGGCAGCTACTCTAAACAATCTTGCTGTACTTTATGGTAAACGAGGAAAGTATAAGGAGGCAGAACCTTTGTGTAAGAGAGCTTTGGAGATCCGAGAAAAGGTAAGAGCTAAAAACTGTTTTATTTCAAACAGAAGTTTGGATTCTAGAGCAGTTCCACAGCCATTGATTTCCAGAATACCCTGCCTCTTCCCCCAAGTGTTACCTCCTTTCCTCACTCCTCCTTTCCCTTCCTCCCTACCTGAGCTTGAATGCTGCAAATGACCTATTTGCAGTGCTCTTGCAGGGCGGGGAAGGAGTTGCTGAGAGTCTGGCCCTGGCTTTTCCCCAAGAGTGCTCCACCCCATGAGCACCCACAGGGATGTCAGACCACAGATGTTGCTGGATGAGGGAAGTCGGTGTTAGAGGTCCAATATTGGAGAATAATTAATTGTACACATTTAGTGGAAAAAAATGTGCTTCCCTCACTTCCGGACTAACTAATCATCAGCAAAACTACCTAATTACTGATCAAATGTGCCTACCGTAAAATCTTGAGTATAATGTGAACTTTTTTCCCCGGTTTTTTAGGGTCAAGGCCGGGGTGAGCAACATATGAGCTATTTTTTTAAAGCTTTAAACTCCCCCTCCCCTCTGCACAGAAACTTTCCAACTGTGGTGTGGCACGGGGGCCATAGCCCTGCCAGGCTCCCGGACAAGACGAGGAGCCCTGGCTTACTGCCTGCCTGGTGCTCGTTTAGAATGCGCCTGGGGGCCCCCACGGCAGGCACAAGCTCAGCGTGGCACAAGCTCAGGGCGGCTGGAGGACCCTGCCGCAGGTGTGAGCAAGAGCACAGTGCAAGCTCAGCTGGGCAGGGGGCCCCTGCGGCAGGCGTGAGCGAGCTCAGCTGGGCAGGGGGCCCCTGCCTTCCTATGCATACCATAACATCTCGAGTATAATGGGGGTGCGCATTATAGATAAGAGTTTAGTTTATTCAAGAATTCTGACCTTTAAAAGGCAGATGCGCATTATACATAGGTGCACATTATATTCAAGATTTTATGGTATTATTTAGCCTGCCAGTATTCTTTGCTCATTCTCAGTGTATTGGGGAATACAGACTGACCATAAGGGCCTGGTCTAACTTAGTACCCATGACCTTTCCTGATCTTACACATTTTTATCTATATCACCACGTTTTACACTTGCATTCTGACCAGAATTCAGTACCCACTGTAGCACTGGTCAGGGTCTGGCATCTATTCTGTTCTCACTGTGATGTGTAGCAGGACAAGAAAGGGGTATTCTGACATTTAAAAGGCAGGTGCGTATTATACATAAGTGTGCATTCTACTTGAGATTACGGTAAATATAAACAGCATAAACTAGAAGAAAATAGTATATTTCTTTGTAAAACTGAAAGAGATCATCAAACTTACTGGAATATATTCATGCAAAGGACATTTTCGGAGCTGTATTGAAAAGTGTTCTTCACAAACAATCTTAAACTGAAATTTTATAGGTTAACTTAGTACACTCAAGATTCAAAAGAATCTTAATTTGTTAAAGATGGAAAGTGTCTAAATTGCTTGATATGCCCGGTCAAGACCTTATTTACCATGTCAGCCAAAAACAGTCCTAATGTTTACCTAACATAAATGGGGACCTCCTTCACTCTCAACCTAGAATTTGATTTATAATGAAAATAGTGACTCAGTCTTAATAATAAAAGCATGAACAGTGTAATCTGCTAAAGTAAAATAATGTGGCTTGATATTGAAATTGGAAAGAAGAAAATTGGGGAAGATCATTTTAAGATTCTTTAAAACCTAATACAATAAATGGAGACTTTTAAAATGTATGATATCTTCATTTTCAGGTCCTGGGGAAAGATCACCCAGATGTTGCCAAACAGTTAAATAACCTGGCCTTATTGTGTCAGAACCAGGGTAAATATGAAGAGGTGGAGTACTACTATCAAAGAGCACTTGAGATTTACCAAACTAAGCTAGGACCAGATGACCCAAATGTGGCAAAAACAAAGAATAATCTGGTAAGCTTGTAACATGAAGTAAAAATAAGAAAATGTAAGTCTTGTTTTTCTAGTATGCTAAAATAATGTACATTTATTCAACAAACATGTAATTACACATGTTCCTAAACTACTGTCTATTATTTTTAGGCATCCTGCTATCTAAAACAGGGAAAATTTAAGCAAGCAGAAACTTTATACAAAGAGATTCTTACTCGTGCACATGAAAGGGAATTTGGCTCTGTAGATGGTAAGGAACTTGGTGTTCAACTGAAAAGTATAATTTCTCTTTTTTTATAATTCTCTGTTTAAGACTATATTATACTTAAAGTTGTGAGTATTAGAGGGAGACTAAAAGGAATTAAACTTTTTAGATTTCATTGAAATATATACAGTAAAATGTATCCTCGGGAAAGTCTTTAATTACTGCATTAAAATTAATCCAAAACAAGGTTTGTTTTTTTCAAAATGAGTGAGACTTAGCAAATCTATTTGAAATACTACTTTTCTACTGAAGTTACTTTAGGGTGTTCTATACTACCCCAGCTCTAATGTCTGAGGTAGTATACACACAGGAGTATGTTTGTTCATTGTCTTCTAGTCACTGTTTAGAAGACTTCAGTATAGGATTTTAAAAGACTTGGAAAAAACAATGGTTAAGTGTTTGAGCTCATCTGCCAAAGCAGTTAAAGAATGCAAGAAAACTTGTCATCTTAAATTAGGAAAACTGTAAAATTAACAGCTAGAAGTCATCAATCTATTTGTATATTGTTCCAGTAGAACACATTTCATAAATTACTAATTGTAATGCAATATTTTCATTTCAATAAGACAGTTTACCTGTGCAGCATTCAGTAGCTGTCATGATAGAAGAAATTAATGCATGTATTCTAGCAAATGACTAAGCTCTTGTCAGTATGTCCAGCCACCAATGTGGTTGCATCAAAGCTTCTTAGAAATAGCACTGAAACCAGTCTTTAATATTGACTTATCTTTTCTCCTCTGAAGCCAGTTAAAAGCAGACATGCCTGTTTTGTTAATCTGTTTAATCTTTCTGTGATGTGTCAAAAATGCTGATTGTGCTGCCAGAATCACTATTTGATGGTCTTCAGCTTCCTTCAGAGAGATGAAAATCAACCAGAATATAAATACTTACTACTTTCACTGCTATTATACAATATTTATGTTGTGGGTTTTTTTTCCACCAGATGAAAACAAACCCATTTGGATGCATGCTGAGGAGAGAGAAGAATGCAAAGTAAGAACATGATTGAATAATTGTTTTCAGAACTTCTGTTATTGCAGATTTATTTTTAACATGCTGTTTTTAATTTAGGGAAAGCAAAAAGATGGCTCTTTTGGAGAGTATGGTGGTTGGTACAAGGCTTGCAAAGTTGATAGGTAAGTATATTATTGAAAATATTTTAACTACATAACATTACATCCGGCTCTGTCAGTTTGAAAATCATATTTAAAGCATTTCATTTTTATCTATGTTACTACTATGGAAACTGATATTTAAGAAATCCAAAGCCTTGTTTGCTGTTCATATCAGAAAAGGTGACTTCAGGTATCTAGTTGCGATTTGGTTCTGAGCCCCGTTTTATCCCAACTGAGGCAAACCTCTAAATTCCAATGGCTAGCTATCCTCACGTGCTGCATTTACAATAATTCCTCATTTAACACGTGCCCACTTAACACGTTTTTGCGATAGCACGATTTTTTTTTAGGAAACTTTTTTTGAATTAGATGACAGTCCCTGGAATAACACAATTTCCCCAGCTGGCCCATTGCAGGTGGCTGCTCGGGGCTTCCCCTGCCTCCCTGCAAAGCGGCAGAGGGTTCGCCACTTGCCACGCCGTTCCCCGGCAGCCCCCCTCCCTTCACCCCCGCCAGACGCAGTGCAGGTCCTGGCAGACTCATCACAGGGGCATACTCCCAACCCAATCCTCCTCCCCTTCCCTTCCCCAGAGCCAAACACCTACCCTCCCTGCTGTAACCCAGTCTCCTTTCTCCCCCAACCTTATGTCCCGGTCCCAACAGACACCACTGCTTGAAACGCAACCCCCACCTTTTCCATTATTTTCAATGGGAAAATTGACCCCGCATAACACGTTTTCACTTAACACGATCATTTTCTGAAACATATCTATAGTGTTAAAGGAGGAATTACTATATGTGATCAGTCTGTATTTTCTCTCTTCTGTTGATATACAAAGGCACAAAGGGGAGTAGAGCAGGCCATGTAATCTAGCCTCCGATCCACTTTCACTCCTGTGTGGTGTTCTGTTTGAGTTTTCTTATCATTTACTGTGCAAGTAGACTAGTTTTGTTTCAGTTGTTCTCTTTTTTGATTTTCATGCTCCACACAGTGCTACAATGTTTGAACAGCAGAATCATATACATATATATATATATATATAGTAGCCCAGTGTCTGTGAGTCTGTAACGCTGACGTACATGGCCACGCCCCCGGCCGTGTATGTCAGCACCCTGCTCCCCTCCCACTGGGGCCCAGCTGAGAGGCACAGCGTGAGCGCCGCTCAGCTGGATCTTGACGAGGAGCAAGCGGCCGTTTGGGGTCTGCGCTCCCCAATTCTGCACTGCTCAGCTGGGCCCTGGCGGGAGGGGAAGGGGGGCGGGGCACTGACATACATGGCTCCAGAGGATAGCTCTATTTGTTTTCAGGGCTGTTCTACCATCACTTTTTTTTGTTGAGCCATAAATGCATTTTGTAAGGTATTTTTAATGTCTTTCTCGTGCTTAATGCTAGTAGAATATTTTAAAAGATGGCTCTTTTATATAGATACTCATGATATCTAAGCTTTTCTCTTGGGGCTTTTTTTAGTTTTCATATGTTTGATATTCTTAATTTACTGTGCATACTTTTTTAAATAGTCCAACCGTAACAACTACCTTAAAGAACCTAGGAGCACTTTACAAGCGTCAAGGCAAGTTTGAAGCTGCTGAAACATTAGAAGAGGCAGCAATGAGGTCCCGTAAGCAGGCAAGTATGAAAATTCCTCTTTGCTCTCAGTAATGCTTTTTGTGGCCATTTTGTTTTCCTCTCAATTTTTGTGTATGTATAATGTTAGCTGTTCAGTAACTGGGAGATTTTTAGAGATGAATTGCTGTGTATATCTGTCCATTTACTATTTACGTTAATAAAAAACACCTCCATTTCAGTTTGAATTAAAAATATATATGCATCATGTTAAGCCTTAGTAAACAGGCTAATTTCTTGGTTGATGTTACCATGAACTGGCTGAATACTAAGGGTTCTAAGGTGCCTTTGTGGAGGCAAGAGAACAGCAGTTGATAGGTGTACAGTGGAGGAATGGCACAGCAGAGTGGGGATGCTTCCTGGCCTGGGGTGGGCAGCATACATGTGGGTGGGGAGGAAGGAAGCAGCAGGCTTAGACAGCAGTTCTCAGTAGGAAGAGTGTGAGGTGTTGCACAATAGCTAGGAGTTGAATCTTAGGAGATAAGGTTGGGGGTCATGAAGGAAGAGGGGGGGGACACCATAGTTAAGGAAGCATTTCTAAGGAAGGAGCCCATGTTTCTGAAGGAGATCTCGAGTACCAAGAGGCATTTGATGTAGGCTCTGAGTGCTTAGTACTGTAAAGGCTACTGTAAAAGAAGAAAACTCAAGTTGAGACAGACTCAGTACCAAGTTTGGATACCTTAGATCCCAACTGGCAGAGGCATAGATGAAAAGAGTTATAAGCATGTCCTGGAATAATGCTCCGTATTGACATCAAGGAAGTCAACTGTACCAAGTATGGCTAGACCTCATATGGTACTGAGGGAATCGGAGCTGATGCATCCCTGAGCCCAACACGTGGATTTGGTACTGATGTATCTGGCACCACCCTCCAGAGAGCAAGCCTTCTCATCTAGTTGCTTTGAATGGTGTGCAGGGGGAGGGAAGGCAGGGAGCCTGCCTGAGGAACCTGCTGATTTGGAGCTGCCTAGATAAGTGCCTCCTGCCCAGAATCTGCCTCTAGCACCCCAGCCCGTTCCTCTCTCAACCCTCTGCACCCCTGCTTCTGTACCCACATTACCCCCTAAATCCTGCACCCCAATACCCTCCTCCAGGTCACCGTCCAAATACTTGCACCTCCTGCAGCCCTGCCCTTGGTCACAATCCCCTCCTAGGCCCTGCACCTCTCTTCCAAGTCAGAATTCTCTCCTGCACCCCAATCCCTTTCCCTAGTTCACAACCTCCTCCTGCCCTGGGTCACAAACTCCTAAATCCCCTCCTGTATTCCTGCCCCAGATCAGAATACTCCCCTGCACCCACAAACCATAGGTTCCATACCAAGTATCCGGGTATCACTGCTGTCCTGGACCAGGAACTCTGACCTCAGATCTGATTTTCAACAGTGCACTTGATGACTTATTGCAGGGTTACCCTAATATAGTCCTGGTCCTGAATTTTCCTGAAGTGTGTTGTATATTGCTCAGCCCTCTCTTGGACAGTTCAGATATTATAGGTCTACTAGTGGGCTGTGCCTGCGGCTCACTACACTAGCCAGCCTCCCTCTCTCTGGCAGCTTTTGTGGCCAGAGAGCATGATGATGTCATTCTGTCACCTGTCAGAAAAAACTTTTTTTTATATATAGCCATTGGCCCTGAAAGGGGTCAATATTCAACAGTTTAATTCGTGAATTGAAGTTAGCCAAACAATTCATTTTAAATACAACACTGCATTACTTTTAATTAAAAAATACGAGTATTTAATTTCAGAGAGATTTTAAATGAGTATAAGGCATTAAAGTTAGAAATGGTTATGGGAGGAATAAAGATAGTTAGCTTTGTAGTACCTAGACATATATGGTAAGGTTTTTACCTTGAAATGTCTCCAGCAACATTGCTGATTAAATTCTTAGGTCAGGATATCTTCCATCCCTGAAATCAAGACTGGTTGTTTTAAATCAGTTAAAAGAGAAAGGAGAGAGAACCTGGGGTATAGATTTAAGTATATCCCAAATTAAAAAAACACAAGAGAACAAAAAAATGCCACTATGGCTAAACAACAAAGTGAAAGAAGCAGGGAAAGGTAAAAAGGAATCTTTTAAAAAGTTGAAATTAAATCCTAGTGAGAAAAATAGAAAGGAGCATAAACTCTGGCATGTGAAGTGTAAAAATAAAATTAGGAAGGCCAAAAAAGAACTTGAAGAACTGCTTGCCAAAGACTCAAAGTAATAGCATTTTTTTTAAATACATCAGAAGTAGGCAGCTTGCTAAACAACCAGGAGACTACTAGATGATCAAAATGCTAAAAGAGCACTCAAGGATAAGACCATTGCAGAGAAACTAAATGAATTCTCTGCATTGGTCTTCACAGCTGAGGATGTGGGAGATTCCCAAAGCTGAGACATTCTTTTAAGATGAGAAATCTGAAAAACTGACCCAGTTTGGGAACAGATTAATAAACTAAACGCCAGTAAGTCACCAAGACCAGGCAGTATCCACCCAAGAGTTTTGAAGGGACTCAAATGTGAAATTGCAGAACTACTAATTGTGGTGTAAAACCTATTGTTGTTCCGTTTCTGTACCAGATGACTTGAGGATAGCTAATGTGACACCAATCTTCACAGGTGATCTTGGCAATTACAGTCCAGTAAACCCAACTTCAGTGTCTGGCAAACTGGTTCAAATTATAGTAGAGAACAGAATTGTTGAACACATAAACATAATTTGGGGGCGGGGAAGTCAACATGATTTTTGTAAAGGGAAAATCATGTTTCACTAATTTATTAGAATTCTCTAAGACAGTGGTCCCCAACGTGGTGCCCGTGGGCGCCATGGTGCCCGCCAGGACGTTTGTGTGAGCCCGCTGGAGCATTTATGTGCGCCCGCATAGTGACCAAGGCCGGCCCGAGCCATTCTTGCGCCCCAGGTCCCGGGCAACCCCAAAAGGTTGGGGGCCACTGTACTAAATGATTGAGAATCATCTGGACAAATAATGCTATTTTAAAGCAGAGAAATAGAGAATTAGATGGGACCATGAGAGGAGATCACATACTCTAGTTCCCTGCACTGCAGCAGGGCCAAGTATACATAAACCATTCCTATTGGGTGTTTCTCTAACCTGTTCTTAAAAACTTCCAATAATGGAAAATCCACAGCCTCCCTTGGAAGCCTGTTCCAGAGCTTAACTATCATAGTATGTCTACACTGCCACCCTAGTTTGAACTGGGGTGACTAATGTAGGCATTCGGACTTGTGGCTCTGCCCCCGGGCGCCCGGCACGTGAGTGGCCCGGAGCCCGGGAGCCTCTAAAGGTTGGGGACCACTGCTCTAAGAAGATCAACAGGCATGTGAATAAGGGGGGATGCAGTGTATATCGTGCACTTAGCTTTTCAGAAAGCCTTTTACTAAAGCTCTTAAGCGAAATAAGCTGTTGTGGGATAAGAGGGGCGGTCCTCCCATGTATTGGTAACTGGTTAAAATATAGGAAACAAAGGATACGAATAAATGAGCGGTTTCCAAAATGGAGAGGGGTAAATAGTGGTGTCCCGTAGTTCTATTCAGTACATTCATAAGTGATCTGAAATAAGGGGTACACAGTGAGGTGGCAAAATTTGCAGCTAGAGCTCTGCAAAGAGTTTTGGAAGGATCTCACAATTGGGAACTAGACAGAAAAATGGCAGATGAAATTCAATGTTAATAAATGCAAAGTAATGCACATTGGAAAACAGTAGGCTACGTCTACCCTACTGCAGAAAGTCAACCTACACTAAGCAAATCTAGCTATGTGACTAACTTAGAAGGAGTCAACATACCTTATGTTGCATTCCGGCCCCCCTTTTAATCCCACCCTTTGGGTCCCGGCTCTCCATTTCTTCCTTGCCTGGTCCAAGATTACTTTGGATTATTGGTTACTCAGCCTGGTGGAAAGAGAATATGCTATCCCCTTCCTGTCCCACCCACCCTTCCTCCCCGTCCATCTTCAGGGACCCCTCTCACGAGACCTTCTGCTTCAGCAGTATATCTACCCTCCTGATAGTAGGGACTGTCAAGCCCATTCCAATGGGTTTCGAGGGGAAAGGTTTTTATTCCTGTTACTTCCTTATTCCCAAGTCCAACAGAGGTCTTCGTCCTATTCTGGACCTAAGGAATCTAAACTCGTTCATGAAGAACGCAAGGTTCAAAATGGTCACCCTTGCCTCCATCCTGTCCCTAGAGAAAGGAGACTGGTACGCTGCCCTTGACTTCGTTGGGGCTCACCTGGACTCTATGGTAGTGAAGGCATCCCTCCCCACAGCCAGGTTCCTGGCCATCAGTGATAAGAAGGTCTTAGAGCTGCACCCCGCACGAAGGCCTGCACTTGTATGAGACTCTTAGGTCACATTGCGGCCTGTACCATCGTGGTACAACATGCCAGGCTACACTTGTGGCACCTTCAAGCTTGTCTGGCCCCGGCCCACAACCCAGTTCAAGCACCACTGGATGCTCTCCTCACAGTGCTGGAGGACATTTTCCAGTCTTTAGACTGGTGGCTGCAGGAGCAGATTGTGTGTCACGGAGTCCCGTTTGCCAGGCGGACTCCGTCAGTGTAGCTGGTGACAGATGCATCAGATACTGGATGGGGAGCCCACCTACTGAACCTCAGAACCCACGGTATGTGGTGTCTCAGCAAGAGTGCACTACAGATAAATGTCAAAGAGCTCAGAGCATTCAGGCTGGCATGCCTAGCATTCTTGCCCCACCTGGAGGGCAAAGTAGTGTTGGTACTAACGGACAATACTACAGCCATGCATTATATCAGTAAACAGGGTGGAGCTCGCTCTTCTCCCCTCTGCAAGGAGGCTCTCCTGCTGTAGAACCTGTGTATTGTGCACAGGATTCACCTGGAGGCATCCTACGTCCTGGGGAATTGGGATGTGGTAGCAGACAGGCCCAGCAGATTGTTCAAGACCCATGAATGGTCCATCAGGGAGGTGTCTTAGAGGTTGTCTTTCAGAAGTGGGGCTTATCCCCCTCTTGATCTGTTCACTT